GGAAATTGATTCTTTGTGGACCCGGACAATCATTTCCAGAAGGTTTGCTTAGTAAGCGTATTTCTGATGAATCATAAGATCCGTCGTACCGGATATAACATTGCTTTTCTTGGCGAAAATGTGCGAACTAAGCGTGGCGAAGTTATAATCTCTTACAAAATCCACAAGAAAAAATCGTAACCAACGGTTTTAATCGAGTCGATTTAATAGTAAAGAAAAATACGACAACAAACATTTTGGTTTTTTAAACTTCTCATACTTCGCGGAAAAAAATACATTTTAATCAACAAACATATTTTGAAATGAATCCCGTGATCAAAAAACAGTCATCGCCGGATATAATAAATTTGAAATTAAGTTTGAATAATACCTAAAAATATCTGCACAAACATAACAAGCGGAATTATAACCTCTTACAAAATACAATAGGAAAAAATGTAACAAACGGAGCCAATTTTAGAAAAAAAAATATACGGCATCAAACATTTGGTTTCGTTCATATTTTTTAATATATCTCTGCGATATGAGATTTTTGGCAACAAAAATATTTGTAGATGAATCCTGTGAATAATGCAGTCATTGCTGGATATAATAATGCTTTTGGAAGCAAAATTATCTAACAAAACTGCTTAAAAAGAGACTATTGACGCACAACCAGAAGTAATTGGCTTAAAATAAGATGCGTTTTATGTGCCGAGGAAATAAATATTTGAAAGTAAGTTTTCGTTTGTATACTAATTAATATATCTCTGCGATACGGTATTTTATTCAAACGAAAGTATTTTAAAATGCATCCTGTGATCAAAAAACAGTCATCGCCGAATACGTAATTTTGAAATTACATTTTATTAATATTTAAAAATATCGTCACAAACATCACAAGCGAAGTTATAACCTCTTGGGAAATACAAGACAACGGTTCTATTCGAGTCGATTTAAAAATAGAGAAATATACGGCATCAAACATTTGGGTTTTATTACTTCTCATTTTTCGCGGAAAAACTAGATTTTAGTCAACAAACATATTTTGAAATGAAAACTGTGAATAAAATGCAGTCATTGCCGGATATAAGATTTCTTTTGGAAGTAAAATTATCAAACTAAGCTGCTTAAAAAGATACTAATGACGCACAAACAGAAGTAATTGGCCTAAAATAAGATGCGTTTTGTGTGCCAAAAAAAAATTTGACATTAAGTTTTCATTCGTATACTAATTAAAATATTTCTGCGATACGAGAATTCGGTCACCAAACATATACTGAAATAAACCCATGATTAAAATGCAGTCATCGCCGGATATAGTAATGTCTATCTACGCGAAACAACTTAAAGAGTGCGTAATTTACTCCAAATATACAGAAAATGATTTCTAAGACATTTAAAAAACTTGACATTTCATTGACGAATAGACGAAATTGACGTAACAAAATCCTAAACCAGTGCTGCGGGCCAAATGCAGCCCCCGAGGAAAAATTGTGTGGCCCGCGAAACGTGTTTTTAGTTTGCCGGCTAGCTTGTGCACAGCGAACAACGCATGTCATAAGATTATTAACCAAAATTTTTGTGGCTGCAACTACTTGAAAGCCTATGTCAAGTAAAGGTGTGGCCCGCGGTTTCACCCAGTTATTATATATGACCCTTCAGTATTAAAGGTTGCACACCCTTGTAAAGCCCTGAAGACCTAAACCAGGGCTACTCAACTGGCGGACCGCGGTCCGAATCCGGACCTTTCGGGTATTCGATTCGGACCGCGCCTAATTCTTTATTTTGGATTATCAGCCCCACTTTTGACATTTTCTTTTATAAAATCACTTTTATAGATTTAAATATATATGAAAAGAACTATAACGCCATAATAAACAATCTTGAATAGTTAATAATCATTAGTCGGCCGAGGAAGTGTGTGTTTAAGGATGGCGAAATATAATTTCTGGAAAGACCGGACCCAAATATTTTTGAAGTTTTGTATGCGGATCTTCGGTAAAAATAGTTGAGTAGCCCTGACCTAAACAATACCCGGACTTGAAATTCCTTATAATTTATTCTTAGAAGTTTCCGTTTTATAATTAACGCATGCAACCTTCAAAATGCAGTCAACATCAGAAATAAAAATGCTTTTGTAGGCGTAAATTAACAGATGAAGAGTGTCGCATTATGTCCGAGTTTAACAAAAAACAATCGGAGTTAACCTGGAACATGGCCTGGCCGCGGATCACAGAAATACATTTTGTGACAAGTGTGAAGGCTGTTAATAACGCTGTGAGGGGTAGAAGTAAACCCGAGCTTGGAGGTGAAAAATCAATCAAAATATTATTCAAAATGCAATACAAGCGCAATCCCGGCCTTAATTAAACTAAAAAAATTCAAATTTCAACCACTGAATTTATAATAACGGCGTTTGGTGTGGTGAAAACCAAAACCTGCGCACCCAACCATAAACAATTCCGACAGAATGTTTTATTTACGATATTTAGTTTCATTTCTTCAACTATGTGTAATTTTCGCAGTCAACATCACACCACGGGGCTTTGGTGGCATAGAAATGAAAAGCAAAACCATCACGATGGAATTTTTAAAGTGGCAGTGGAAAATTATGACCAACGGGCGGAAATTTTATTTACGATATTTAGTTTCATTTCTTTAACTGTGTAATTTTAATTTCCCAGCCTAACATCAAGGCTTCGTAATAATAAAAAGTTCGATTTAGTGAACAACTTTACTATTTGTATTCCGCCACCGCTTTTCTAATATGTTTTTTTTATTCTGTTTATCATATGCTGGGTTCTAGGTGTTCGCAAGCTTATGTCCCAAGAAGAGGTTAACTATTATTTACGCATCCCCACAATAAAGGGCGCTCCCGCAGTATGTACACCAAGATGGCAAAATTAGTCATAATTTTAATAAGTAAACGAATAGCTCGCGGAGCCCTTGGGTTTCTCTAACGCAGTGGTTCTCAGTCGAGGGCCGACACAAATCTAATAACTGATCTCACCGTGGTAACAATTTCAAGTAACTCTCGGCAGCAAGCTAATACTTACTATTTTCTTCTAATGCCTCAGGGTATTGTTGTTTTCTTCATTACTATATTGTTTGTCATAGTGATTGATCATTATCGCTTATCTATGACGTTAATCAAGCTTGACTGTGACATCACACAACAAAACGTTATTCGCGTATTTCCTTGGTTATTAACAAATAATGTTAGTTTGCTAATCATATGGAAATATCAAACTTTGGCAACATAATTTAATTCCACGTGACTAATTTCATCCTGAATGTAGAAACGAGTAAAATTATGAGATGACATTGCACATCTAAGGGTTCGCGGGGACATTAGTCATCACCTATCGCCGTTGGTTGGTTGGCCGAAAGCTAGATTTGCGAATTTTTTTGAAGTATGGGTTGGGCCATATCTCCTACTGCCAATCACCACTAAATTACCCACCACACAAAGACCTGAAATATAACATGAATGTGAATATAAAGGGTGTCCAAAAAGTTTCGCTCGATTTTATAGTAATCACAATTGTAAGTTTGAATGGGTTTTATTGTATGATAAATGAGAACTACAAGCACAATAAGAACTATTAATAAAAAATAAGATGAAAACTTTTTAATTGTTACCGCTACAAAATCGCGCGAAATTTTCTGGGCACCTATATGTTTCACTACCATTACCTCAACTTATTTTGCCCATTTTCGTTTAATATAGTCTGCCCCCGTTAAACTTTTAGATATGGCACTGAAGCTGAAGCAAAATTCCCTGGTCTTCATCTCCGAAAAAATTGATAAATGGCCTCGGCCTATTTTCACCCCATTAAATTATGTTTATTTTTCCAGTCAGTAAAAACAATCGCATACAAAAAAATTACCGAGGAAAATTTGAAGATACTGTTAACCGGGGGAGGAAAAGCTGCGAGAATCAAAGCTTATTATCGAGAAGCGACACCAAGGGTTCTAACATCTAATAATTACGATTTAAAAGTATATATGTATTATGTTTCATGTTCCGACATTTTCGCAAGCACGTATGTTCTTTCATCTGGTGATAACGCAAATAAATAGTCGTTTATTTCGGCATTTTAGAATATCCTAATTTGTTCTGTTGTGTGAAAATATCATCCCGTATGAAATCGCACTGGCTAAAGATTGCGGAAACGAAACTATAAGTACTACTGTACTTGGGGTGGGCAAGGGCGGTTGACCCATAAATTTATAGGATCTTTTGTAAAAAGCCCTTGTCAAAAACACGCCCGCCAATGCTCAAAATAGGAAAACTAGTAATCATCCACTTAGGGTTAGGGTGAGGAATGCAAATTGAGCTGAAAATTCAAATCATTACTGACCCCAACTGGATAATTACTAATTTTCTTAGTTCATACTGGCGGTAATGTTTTTCTAAAATCTCACATTTATCTTCAGTGGCATAGGCTTTGTACAAAAGATCCGATTTATAACCTTCGGTTTCAGCACAGTTCAGTAAAACCAGTAAATCACACTCATATTTTATTCGCTAAAACCTATGAATTGAAGCGCGAATTAATAAAATTTGCAGCCGTATGATAAACGTATTCAATCGACTACTTCCTATCGCCCATCCGATAATGTATTTAAATTTGTGGCCAATAAATGTAATGCTCATGCCATTTCTGTTTTTACAGGATTTCTCTTTCTATCGAATATTCGCTAATTCATATCGAATTACAAACAAAAAAATTACCAAAATCTGAAAATAGACCCAAACAGATCAACGATCAAAATCAATTCGATTCAGTGTTAATGATTCTCAATATTTGGTGCATTTAGTCAAGTCATTAATCCCGTGCATTCAATACTTTTGTGTACGTATCTTATGTAATAGTTCATTACTGAAACTTATATAATGAAGTCATAAGATATTTTGGAAACATCGAAAATTGCTCCTTGTAAAGTACCGTACACTATAATATTTTAATATATATTATTGTATTGTTAAATATATCACTTGTACGCTTGTTTGGACGAAAGTCAAGCCAAGATTACAAAATTGAATGAAAAAAGGCTGTTTTGTGCCAAATTCGTGATCCCGTGTCATCATTTGTGCCCTATAAAAGACGCCACGAGGCCATTAAGATCACATATAGATTTATTGGGCTTCTAGTGCAGACATAAAGAAATACCAATTCAGTCTTCGAAATGGCAAGCTGTTATTTAATTTCTGCGCTCGCAATTTTGGCAAGTTTTTGCCTGATAGAATCGGCAGTCATCAACGAAATGCCGACGGTATACGAAGAAATTATTACAGAAGAACAAGATAACATGTTCACAGAAGACTGGAAAAATGCGTTCGATAACGAACAACTTCAAAACCAGCCTAAATGGACGCCTGACGAAGACCAACCTAAAGACGACAGTTATGAAGTTAGAAATTACGACCCAGCGTGGTGGGTGACATCTTTTGTGCCCTGCCTCAACCAAACTGTGGCTTCGTCGTACGGTTATCTCAAACTGTACCTTTACATGAACAAAGCAAACGACCAACACATGGAATTCAACTTGACTTACCCTATCTTGAATAAAGTTGATATGCAATTCAACGCCCAATACATTGATGAAGATAAAAAGGGTAGAAATCCATGTCCAGATAGATATTCCGTTAACTTATATCTCCCGTATGAGTCTGACGACGAATACTACATTGACGACACCCCTCCTAACGGCCAAGATGAAATAGTAACCACTTCGAAATCACAGCTCAGAACTCGCTACGTGCTCCCTTACGAGGACGAATTTACCATCGAAAGTCTGGAAAACTGTAACGAGCAAGCCAAAGATTTTGGAGAACGACTGAAAGAAGATGGAAAGAATGTCAACGTTAACTCGTACCATTGCGCTATGTACGAGCCCGACAAGCAGGGCGTCGTTCGCTTCGAAGTTTGGTTCGATGACATCGACCAATAAAAAACTATGATGTGATAATTTCATCTATTTTACTGTTACTTCACAATTGCATCTCTTGTTAAAGCAATTATGACCAAATAAAAAATTGCGAATTAAAGATTATGTCACAAACATGTCTGGAAAGTTAATTATTGAAACACAAATGTCTAGCCGGAAACAATTGAACTGCCGTGCACAACGCCAATTCAGTGGTATTATTGATGGCCGCTAAATTGACAGAGAAAAGTTTATGCGTGAACACATGACGTAAGCTGACGCAGCTTCCAAAAACTCGCTAAAATATGACTGTTTGGGCGACAAACCAATACTATTATAAAACTTTTCGTTGCTCTGGTTCTGGTCAGAGGTTTAAATTTAGATAGTTTTTGATTTAAGGCCGGATTTGCGCTTTTATTGCATTTTGAACTTTATTTTGATTGATTTTAGGTCACCTCCAGGCTCGAGTTTATAGTAATTAATGAATTTTTGCCCTGTATAGTCTATAAATAAATGAATTTGATATCTGACAGGCCTCTCTCAATAATTTAGTAAAATCTGTTAGCACTAATAGTTAAAGCCCGCTTGATACCCGCGACGAATACAAGTTGCGAGTTGGGTTACTGAATTGAGGCTCCGAATCTTAAATTGGTAAATTTAGGTATTCAATCCTGTACGAAAATTCAAGCATCAATATTTCCCCTAGTTTTCCGATTTAAAAGTCCTAATGCACGTTTCCATAACATGTTCAGTTTTGCTTCGTGCTTATTGTCTTTATTCGTTGCAATAAAATTTACTTTCGCTTGGAATTTGACTGCGTTGTTAGTTCAGTGCGCAGGTAAATAGAAAGTGAGAGTATATATGAAATGACTCGCTTTAGTCTGATATTTGGTCATAGAACATGGCTTTACTTATCAGGAATTGAGGGGCCGAATTTGGTCAGTGCCCGTCGTAGCATGCTGATTTGTGACATTGGCGTATAGGTTAGGCCCCTTCTTATCAAACGTCGATAATTTTTGTGTTAGTAACATAAGATAAAGTTCAAACAAATCGTGTTGTATTGGCTTAAAATAATCAAATAGCACAAATTATTATGGCCTGCAAACAATAAACCTAAGTGCGAATAAGAAAAGCCTACGATAATTAATCATTAAAACAGATAACCAGATTAATCCAGTCAAACCCGAAATTAACGTAAAGACTAAAAGAATCACACGGCACAAATTCATGGGTTGTAAAAATTAAAAGCCTGCGGCACCCGGTATTCCTAGTCGGTCACCCATGCAAGTACTAACCGAGGCCGACGTTGCTTAACTTCCGAGATCGAACGAGATCGGGTGTATTCAACGTGGTATGGTCGTAGGCGATATCGGGCTCCCAATTCGGGTTTTTGTGTTCAGGTATTGTGTTCAAAACGAGAGAGCGATGAAGCGCAACGTTCCAGAAATTGGATAGAATTTATTCAAGTGAATTTTCGACCATGGTTTGCATTAATTAAAACTACCTACTTTTCGGCGACATTTGAATCAAAATACTCGATGACAATCATAAGTGGTAGAACATTTATCATAGTGTTATTGTTACGGGCCGTTATTCGAATACTATTTCTGTCAAAGCGTAATCATATCTTTGACTTGTAGTTGGGGCTAAAAGATGTAAAACTGATTTGAGCCACAGACACACATACCACAGCTGACCACCAAAACCGACTTATGCAAAAGGAAAAGGGAACCGCCACAAAAAGCGCAATTCTTGAATTTATGACGTCATCACACACAAAAAACGAACCCCATAGAAAGAACAGAAATTTTTAGAAATTAATAAGAGTAACAGCATTCTAGGGAAATATACATTGTTCAGCCATTGGAAATTTCAAAGCGATTGGTCAAGGATGCGGCCCGCGAGCCGCGGTTTGCCCACCGTTCCTCCACACCAGGGGTCACCAAACTTTTTTGACCGCGGGCCGGGTATGACCCACAATGAACCACTGTCAAACTATCGTGCACAACTCCAGCGTTTATTTGCGACGATCTTTCGGCGGTGTCAATGACCGTTGCCAGAATAAAATCCTGAAATTATCTCAATATACCATAGATGTGACGCACATCGAAAGATTATTGATTGATATGTGTTATTTTTCCATATTTAGTACAGTTCTTATCAAAAAAGTAATACAATCATTATGGAAAAAATTGGCTGTCGGGCGGTACTAAAATTCCGATATCTCCGTTATTTCTTGACCGTTTATTCCAAACTTGGTATTGTTTTCTATTTTTACTCAGATCTTTCCACTGGAGCAGTTTTTATTTAAATCGGATGAACTTAAATTTTTTTGTAACATACCTACATGAATATCCGCATTAAAGCAGTACAAAAGATAGTGTGGCTTTTGAAATTGGAGCAGTACGCGAGGGATTACAGTACTGTTAGCACAAAATGCACATTCGACGTTTATTTTAGCACGAAAAACAAACAGTTTCGTCGAAAGCAAGCGCCACGAGTGTACAAGTGTATCGCAGAAAACGTTACGTACTGGTAGCATTCAAAGTCGCAAAAACGAAGTTTTGTTTACAACCACAACTGAAAATCTGTCAGGGTGACAAAAGTGTCTGAGCGGATGCGGAAAGGCCTATTGTTACGTCACTTTTCTGCATCTTGCCGATTGGCCAATGTTACGAAATAAACAAGGACGACGATGCTCGTGAAAATCTTCCTTGGAAAAAAATTTAGCCATTTTTGCGTGTTATTGCGGACCGGATAAAATGACGTCGCGGGCCGGATCCGGCCCACGGGCCGTAGTTTGGTGACCCCTGCTTTACACTCTAGTCCAGTGGTTCCCAAACTTTTTTGACCATCGCCCCCATAAAGTAGTATATGCAACTTCATCGCCCCCCTGCACTACAAAAAAATATAAAGTCAGAAACGAATATATTACAGACCAAATAAGAAGACAAATCATAGTTTATAGTGTTTTTTTAATGAGATAGATGAGCTTGGTGTTCTTCAGCGAGTTTTTTATTATATCTAAAATTACCCCGTTTTCTGATGGAAAGGTGATTTCGTTGTTTTAATAGCAATAGCAGCACGGCTGAAAACCCTTTTTTCACCATATAATAGGTCGGAAATGAAAGAATCCAGGGTTCTACCTCCTCAAAAACCGCCGTGTACTCTTGCCTTATAGCATTTCACTTCCTAAACTCACCCCATTTCACATTAAAATAATAAAAACAAAGTTAATTTTCACAAACTTATAATATTGATTTTCGTACATCTCATTCATTCGTACAGCCTGATGACCTGCACCAAAATATTTCGGAAAAATTCATCCCCGATTCCTCATCCTATCACGGCCTCCAGTCCGATCACCAGTCCATAATTAACCAGTCATTTGTTTTTGGATTCATTAACTCGGATGTGGAAGAAGCCGTGACTGAGTATCGGCCACGGCCCAGGGGTCGGCAAATTTTATGTCGCTCGCAGGACAAAATTCAGGGTTGCTAGTCTTTTGCTGGTCGCATATATTTTTTGAAAGTTAAAAACGGAACAGCGCGCAAAAACTGCGACAGTTCGTGAACTCAACTCAGTCGTCTTATTAAAAAAATATTACAATGATATTTAATGTGACACTGTCTCGTTGCTGCATCACGCTGGATAGCTTTACGACGCCAAGATTGAAACATTTTCTAAATGGTCATCACCAAACCCACTTCTTTGCTTGTTCTTTGTAATTTTCATTTTCGAAAATAATGATTTGCACAAACTTGTCCTTCCAAACATCGAAGTGAATATTTTCGCATGATTTGTGAAATTTTGATAAATATTTTCTTTCTAAGAAGATACATTTTTACAAAAATTAAGCAGTGATGAATCTCTCGAATAGAATATGAATTTTATTTCCTTATTGCTTTGCAATATATTCGAATATTTACTGCGCTATTGAACCCCTGCACTCAGCATCAACTTTTTTGCGTGTTTCCATTTGTCTAATTACAATTAAATTGTAGGCTCGTTAAACGAGTGGCTGTTCACTAAATTGTTAGGATATAGTATAATTTAGTCTAAACGTGTCTCACGATAAATTCTGTTACGTAAAAAAATGTAATTTACTCCTCCAGCGTAGATTATAAATAAACAAATGTCATCGTCAAAACCGCCGTTTGGATATTTCCCCGGGCATTCCTTGTTTACTTCGTGACATTGGCCAATCAGAAAGATGCAAAAAACGTAACAATGCCCCCTTTCGCACCCGCTCAGACACTCTCACTCAGACAGATTTTCAGGCGTGGTCGTGAACACCAGTGTTCCCTCTAAAGCTTTCAGGGGCTGCGCACACGCATAGATTTACTGCGCACAGACGTATTTCGATGTAATGTAACAATGTGCTCGGTTGACAGGTTGAGAAAGTTTGTTGTTGGCCCACTTATTACCCGGTTAGAACGCCAAAATTTCTTCTTTGGTTTTTTCACAAATATTAGTCATTTCCAAAAAAGTGCGAACACACCAAAATTTCTGCGCACTCATACTACAAAAATTTAGAGGGAACATTGGTGAACACTACCTCATTTTCGCGTTTTTGAATTATATTCGTTAGTTTTTAGTTGTTTTTCGGAAATTTAAATATAAATCAAATAAGTCAATGATTACTTTGTCTTTCTATGAGATTCAGTTTAAATACAGCAATCAAAAATTAGTGTAGAAATAGCTGTGATAGACTAGGCTAAAATTCTTTATCGGTACTTTTAAAAAACAGATTGTTAAATGGTGTGTATTAAAATGATAGTTTGAAACAAATACCCCATTTTACAGGCGACAACTCGCGAAACCACTCTTAAAATAAGCACCGAAAATTTTAAAATGGTAAAGTTTAAGTGCGCCGAACATAAAACGGGTTTCGCGAAATCGCCCCCTTAGACTTTTTCGCCCCCTCTGTATCGTTTTCGCCCACTGGGGGGCGATATCGCCACTTTGGGACAAAGCCCATATATACCTAAGTTGCGCAACAATGGAAATTGGCCGCCATTTTCGATCAACATCGCCTGCGAGGTTACGGCGATTCTGCGTGATCCGCGGCTAGGCTGGTGCCTTCTGCTATAGAATTAAAGGCCGTTCGGCTCTTAATTGCAGCGGGAATAGCAAAACAGTGCAACTATTGAAGCTATCATCAGATGCAGAGAAGGAGGAAATGGGAAAATAATTGTAGGCGACGTAAAGGCCGGAAATCTGGCCCAGGCAGTTCCTTGTGTGAGGTTAGTCAAACGAATGGCATAATGTCAAACTAACACCAGGAAAGATAGGTTGTACACAGTTTTAGGATGATGTCATATTTAATTATTTATGTCACGTTGCCGATTCGACTCATTTAAGTTAGCTCTGACCCCAGGAAAGTTGAGAGTTAAATTAGTAAGATTTTCTAAATGCTGGCTTCAGGTGTCAGGTTAGGTAAACTGTTTTCAAATCTTCCTAAGTAATGCAAAGTCAGAACATTGCAATGAATGTATCAGATTCATTGTCACGATTGTTTAAAGCACTGCGGTAATAAAAATTTATAGTAATTAGCAGCATTATGAGTAGACAATTCGGAGCTTAGTGGAAATAATGAATTTCTGAAGTGAATGCGTGTTTCGTTAAGTCACTGTCAATTATATTTTGTGTTAAAAATGGGATGCTGAACGCTTGTTATTTCGAAAGTACGTTCATTGTGTAACCTACAACTCATTCCTTTTTCAGACTCATTTTTGAAGAATACCAATTTGATCCGAAGAGTACGGAAAAATGGAAAAAATCTAAATAAAAGGGGATGACAATATTCGATGTGCCAAATCCACCAAATAATTCAAATCATCAAGACCTGAATTAACTAAAATATTGACTGAGATGAAGTTTCAAAAAATAACAATAGCCCTACAGTGAGTTGTGAATGCCAAAGTAAACTCTAATTGCCAGTTTGAATGTTTGTAAATCATTTCTTAGGTTTGATTGAAACATCCGACTACAGGACGAACCAGTTGTGTCATAAACTTATAATGTTGGGTCACGTAAAAAGCACAAAATGTGAAAATTTGGGGGGGGGGGAGAATTTCCCTCTAATCGTTTTTTGCGATATGAAACAACATTACACTTTCATTATAACACGGGGGTGCCATTTTTTGCGTTTTTAATCATCCACTCATATGTAGTCGCCATCGCTTGGCTGACATGGGCAGTCCAGAGCTCGTGATGGAACTAAGATGAGAAAGGTCAGAATAAAATATGGGCCTAACCGTCACTTGGTACACATACTGCTGAAGTTTCAATTATTGTACCTTTTTCATGTCTTTAGTATTTAATTGTTAAAATTTTAATTGTTGATCAATCGAATAGCACTTCTTTTCTATGTCTTTCATATTAAGGTATTTACATACTATTCTTGATCAATTAAATGGTCCATTTCTCATGTCTTTGTTATTTGATAAGTATTATTTCTTTTTATTGGTTAATCAAATTATTTTCAAATCGATTTGGACTATTAGTTTATTTGTAATGGTTTCATGAATCATACTGTAACACCAAAGATTTAAATAAAAATGTTCACTATTCCTATGATGATCATTGCTCGCTTTGTTTTGTAGACACGATTCCCAAGATGTGAATTATTGAATTTTCCTATTGATTGATCCTTTGTGTGAGTCAGAAACATTCTCAAAACCCCACCTGCTAAACCTTATTGATAAGTACATTATAAGTATTAACATTTTTGGAGTGCAAGTTCGCAAAAATTCCAAACATATATAAAGAGTTCATGCATTTTTTAAACATTTTCAGATTATGACAAACCTATGAATAGAATTCGTCTTGCCCTTCCCAGTGTGTTACTTTGTTTTAATACTGTGTAATGTGTATGTCCACTTGAGTTGCACTTTATTTTATTTATTATTTTTCACGTTCAGACACATTCTCATCACATTAATTTTTTTGTCCCTGATCCACTTTGTATATATAGCCAATTTTTTTTTTTTTCTGATTATTATCGTCCAAACCCCATTGAATTTAGTTATCAGTTAAGTATAATTTTCCATCACATCCCCTCATTTTGTTCACAAATTTATTGTAAAAATATTATCGTAATAGTTCAAGTTTTGCCACTAGTCATTTTTCAGTGTTAATATTAATCACTTCAGTGTATATCGCCGGATGAGAACAGAAGGGGCCTAGGTCACATTTTTGGAAAATTCACTTTTTTCAATATTTTGGGGTTCTGAGCCATGCTCTACAAGGTGGTGGTCTTGAAATCCTGAATTTCTCAATAATAAAAATTTTAGCTGGACTTGGGACTATAATATTTTGTAGAAGTTAAGAACAGAATGGGCCTAAGTCCAGCTAAAATTTTTATTATTGAGAAATTCAGGATTTCAAGACCACCATCTTGTTGTAGACTCTACATGATGGTGGTCTTGAAATCCTGAATTTTTCAATAATAAATGTAAATAAATACAATGTAGAGCATGGCTCGGGACATCAAAATATTGAAAAAAGATAGTCCTAAGTTCCAATATGATGGGCATGAGAAATTAAATGTCCAAAACTTACATCCCTAAAAATTTGTTCAGTGCAACTTAGGCCTAAGTCACCTTGTTTTACCTTTCATCCCATACAAAAAATTTCAGAAATTGTTGAGAACAGAATGGGCCAAAAAGCTTTATAGGGGTGAAAAGCAGGAAGGAATTGAAGCTGAAGTGCCAAAATATATTGATTACAAAGATATTCTCATGCACATCAAAATAACCAGAGCTCAGGTCTTTACTAAGTGTGAATATCTAGCTAGATATTCAAAAATGAAAAAAATCCAAATTGTTTTTTTTTGCGTTTTTCTCAAAATTGTGGTTGTGGCTATTTTATTGATGACTGTATTTTTTGGTTGACAAAATAATAAAATCTTTCTCTCATTGTACTACCATGTTTAAGAACGTTTACAATTCAGTTATGCAGCTGGAGTGTCTAAAAAGGGCGAATTTCTAATGTAACATTGACATCAATATTTAGCTACAGTCCCATTTGAAGTCGCCTTCACTGTCGAAAAATTTAGTTCGTTTTAGTCATTTAGGCCTGTTGTACTGTGTGTGTCTACTATCCTAATGGGAAAATCAACATGGAGGTTTTGTTGCGCCATCAGGACGCCTTGGTTGTCAGCAAATTCCGGGACGCCAGACGTCAAATCCGGGATTGTCCCGGCCATTCCCGGGACGGTTGGTAGCCCTAGCATAATCGGGTCTCGAAGAGTTTTAGATTTTGCCTACTTTCCCGAAGGCTATATGTGTGTGTGTTGACTTGCATTGCCTATATATTTGTTTTAGTGTTACGGAAAATCGAAATAAACTTTACTTTACTAACCGTGCGTTGCGTCTGTATTATGTTTGTTACCGAGCGGCGTGGGTTCCTAATGTAAGTGTCCCGTATTGGGTTTGATACTGATTGAGACATCCTATCGGATTTCTGCGCCCTCGGAATATAACTACTGATTTAAATCTGCCCCAATAGCCTTTTAAAACTACTAAAATTAGGCTTGTTTGCGTTACACTCTCGAGCCGAATGATCGAAAATGGCGTCCATATGACGCCATAATGGGGCGAGTTAGTTGCACGGGGTTGCTTTGGGAATCACTGCTCTAGTCTACAGTACACTACAGCTTGGTTCTGATTCCTGGGACAGTTTCCCTATTTGCCCCCTCTGGGCACGTCACTGATACCATCAATTCCTTCCTATTTTTCAAACTGAAACCGATATTTAGACGGAGAATATGCGCATGAACTCCCGATCACAATATGGTCAATTAAGTCAGTCGGGATGGTATTAAATGTAGGCATAAGTTTGATATGAAATAAAATCGGAAGATGTGAAGTTAAAAAAAATCACAGCTGAAGGGTCTTGGTCTTTGGAGGCGTCCCGCTTCGAAGTCACAAAGATATGGTAACTCTACCTATAAATAACAATAAAATAAAGTATAAAGTTCTTCGCAGCAAGTAAATATATACTGTAATACGGAAATTACTGATAGCAGTAGATAAGTAACTGGATGCAATTAAATAATCACACTGTTAACAATTTCGTTTTATTACCCAAAAGCAGATACAATGCATAACGTAAGTTTTCAATCTACCGTGTGTCTAATTGTCATTGAAACAGTTAGTATACTAGAATACTCGGTTTGTTGAGATTTAGGTTGCAAAGGTCACTTTGTTATTTGTAGATGTCTAAAAAGTCTATAGCAACTCAACAATTTTATGTTAGCAGTATTGAAGCCATGAGCGTTCAACTCTAGAATATTTTCCATCATACTTTGTCATTGCCAAACTTTTATGCCTATTTTGGTTGTTTTCACGAATTGGCGCTTACAAACTGGGTTGGGGAATTTGGTGTGACTAATATTTTACTACTTCAACTAAACCAAAATCATTTGTTTGTAGTTTTGGAAAATTACAATCGGGTTCGGACAGACCATAAACCCATAATTAAATAATGGTAAATGTCCCAAATCAATATGCTTTGTACCAAAAGCCTACGGCACCCGGTATTCCCAGCCGGTCACCCATGCAAGTACTAACCGAGCCCGACGTTGCTTAACTTCCGAGATCGAACGAGATCGGGTGTATTCAACGTGGTATGGTCGTAGGCGATATCGGGGCTACCTATTCGGCTTTTTATATTTAAGTTTTGCGTTCGAAACGAGAGATTGACGAAGGTTTAAAACGAGAGACCAACGAAGCGTAAGCGTAGGATATGATTTATTCAAATGAAATCATTCAAGCTAAATTTATTAAATAAATAACTCCGCCAGCTATACATGGCTAAAAACTTGAAGTAAAAATGAAGAAATACAGACATAATATTCATTCCACCATTCGCACACAAAATTTAAATCAGTTTATTATATTTATTGGCGCCAGTCTGTATGGCCCAGAGTTTATAAAAAAAATAGTAGCAAGAGCTACATTTTTTCAAGACATATGGAATTTGAAAATCCCCCTAATCTGATGGCTGTATTTAATGTTGGGGAAGGTGGGACATGACGCAAGTGTGTGTGGTACAGGGTTCATGAGTAAAGGAAAGTAGCAAGAGCTGCATTTTTTTTATTTAAATTCAAAGACTTTGTTAAGTTTTGGCGGAAATCCTCCTTATCTTATTCCTGTATGTACTTTACTTTACTTATTGGGAAATAGAAAAATAAAAAAATAGTCGTACTACGGTGTAACTGGTAAAGGTACAAATATGAAACTTATCTTACTTATATCTTACCGACCCTGAAACTGCAACAAAGCCACATTTCCTATTTGTCCAGCCACCACAAATATTAGCATTTATTGCAGAATCATGAATCAGTAAGAGGCCTGGAGTAGTTGGTTACATACTTCGGGATATTTGGACGCTACTCTATCAGAGTAGAGTTTTTCTTAAATAGCGCATGGTTGCCATCAGGTATATTTACGTCGACGATGGATAAAGCACAACTGGTGTGTAGAAATGACGTAGTTGCCAAGTCTCGTGTAGTTTCGTACCCCACGTACTTCTAGTGGTCGTAGCGCCGTAGCATGTCAATCCTAATCCCCACCTGACTAAGCCATTCAAAAATTACGTCCCTGTGACCTCAAACTCACGTCATAGAGCTTTCCAAAGTATAACTACGATCGCCCGAAATAGCATCTGCGCCGTCGATAAAGAACTCACTAACGAGAGTGATCTCTCTCATATCGGGTTCTTTGTGATTATACTATGCAATTCAAGAGCCCTGCTACACACTAACACCAATGTATTTATGTAATGTCTGACCAAAATCGGACTCGCTCAGACAAGCAGTTTACAACAGGTACCGGTATGTGTTAGTGTGCAGCAGGACTCTTGAATTCCATAGCAGCGTCTGGTATTGGTCATTTTTCTGTAGAACTCGTAGGCCGCGAAAAATCATTTAATTTAAAATAAAGTATGTTCCACGTCCTTCAAAAATTAAAGATTATTGCAATCAGGTATTCAGGAAACCGCCAGTGAGTCGGTAGTCGGCACCAATAAGTATTAAGGGCAATGTAAGTATGACGTAAAAAGGTACATTTCATGAACAATGTTTACAGTGTTACAAAAGCAAAATTGGAAACAATAAGCCTCGTGAAAAAAAAACTGAATTTAATCGCAATCTCAACAAATTCCTTGAATTATTTTTTAGATTAAACATCAACATTTGGTTTTAGTTTGGTTGTGACAGCATCAGGCGTGCCAGATCAAATTACCCAACGGTCCAGCGGGCCGTAGTTTCCTTATGTCAGTGCTAGATGGTAAAACTGGAAAACGCAAAAATGGTGTAAAAACGCCGTCTTCGCATTCTAAATATGCCACCTGGGATTACATGTTTTATTTCTGCCGCTTTTACGGGTTGTTTGCTAGTAAACACAAGTATAATCAAACGAGAGAGCAGACGCTCGTCACTGAATAATAAATTAAAGCCCAGAAATGCATAAATTGGGGGTTGGCGCCGAAAACCGAATCCTGTAATCGGTTCCTTTTGCATTCGAATCCCCCGCCCCACTATCGATCCTCTGCTGCAACAAAACCACCTTTCATATATCCAGCCACCACAAATATTAGCATTTATTGCAGATACATGGTAATGTATAATGAGTGGGACGTTGTCATTTCATGCATGAGTTATTTGGCGCCGCTCTGCTAGAGCTGGCTTCTCTTTGTGTCGGTCCGCGGGTACATTTGAATTTTATTCGAATTGTTTACATTCATGTTTAAACGACGAATAATAATTTTCACGTCGGTCATCCGATCAAAGTAAGTTTCGGCGCCATGTGCGCATTGTCGCCCCATTTCTTAGGTGTCAAAATTAATTTCCCTAAACAGAAATAATTTCAGAGTCGAATGACACAAAGTTGGCATTCCCGCAAAATCAACCCCAACCAAAACCATGTGTCTTTTGATCCACGGTTTGAAAAGAATTGTCATTTAAATCCCCGGCAGAGGATCGTGGCTCGTCGATAAGACGTGTCGAATCACGGCCCTCATCCGGTTACCAGTGATTTGTTAGCCATTTATTTGTTTTCAGATGCATGGACTTGATGGTGAAGGAAGCCATGTGCGACCAGCGGTTACGTGAACCATTCTATGGCGGCGAGGAGTCCAGCAATCCTCTTGCACATATTTTATCCCTCATGGGATTCAAACCGGCGAACCCACACGGGGCAGGAGAATGAGAGGTGCAGTGGCGAGCGTATTCCCAAAGCTTGGCACAATGCAACCACGCCCCCATCGCTGGTCTTACGGTCTATCATTTCACCCATAAGTTTTTTCTAAGTTGGTGGGCACACATCGGTTCACCTACTCTCAAGTTTGGAAAATGGGAGAAAGCGTTTTTTCGTATTCTAATTTTGAATCCTTACATTTCCGTAGTTACCTCTTACATAGTGATGTTGTATGTATGTTGTCAAGTCAATTCCTTCAAAAATTATTTCTTTTGTACATTTGCTGCTATTATTCAGTATCCAGGTGTCGCTGACTTCATTTCAAATTCATTTCATGTGTATCATTGCTTTATATTGATTTTTGCATGATGGGAATAAATATATAAATCTGAATCTATGAGCCACAAACTATTTGCTGTTATTAAAATGTAACAATTCGTACCAAACAATGTTATATAATTCAATAAAATCTCAGAATATTGAAGACAAAGTATCTAGATAATATACAAATCGATCAGAAAGGCACAATGCAAAAGAGTATATAGGGTGTCCACAAAGTTACAATTTCAATTTTGTTATGAAGTCAGTTCTTAACATATCTCAACCAGGTTTGTTGCTTTTTAATCAGTAATAGTTTTGAGTATTTTCGCTTCATTTATTACATCTGTGATGGCCAAAACAATGTATGATATCGATAAATTCCCTTTGCAATTTAAAAAAAATTTTGAGACTTTATGGACACCCTATATAACATGACCAATCTTTTTCACAATGTCATTAAATTATTAAGAGGCGAACAGTTTTGTGTATCACACTTTCACAATGTCAATTCTACATATGTAATCTGATCAAGGAAGAAACAGCACCATGTGCCCATGTTTAAATCAAAATTAAAAAAGAAAACTTAAATACATAATCAGACACTCAAGCAATAACCATGATACATACAAAGTCGGAATGATATTCGTGAATTTGCAAAAATAAAATGATTATCAGAGTGATGATACTCATACTCATATTTAACTCACTAAAATATATTCTCAAATGAAATATTAAAAAAGTTTTGTCAAATAAACGTGGAGGAACTATTTCATTAGATATATATTCCATGTATTAGATACATATTATAAAAAGAATCAGGAATTCACGATATCCCACCTTCGGAAAAAAAAATACAAAAATGATATATATTAGGTCACAATGACAGTAGTGAATCCTAGAAAATAGGAAGAATATAAAGAGAAGAAAACTGGCAATTTCAATAATTGGCAGTAAATACAACTGGGCATCCTCAATACAGATGAATGCTTCTAAATCAGGGGTAGGCAAATCACAACTCAAAAGTGTTTTATCCAGCCCACTTGTGTCTGCTAAAATGATGACTATAATTTTATGAATATAAATTTATGCTGAAAATATTGAAAAAAATAAGTTCACAATGACCCCGATTGTTATATTGTGCCTTTTATTATTATATAAATACAGGGAGTCCTCGGGTTACGACGGTCGCAACTTACGCTGTTCCGAGGTTACGAACGCACTTCATAAAAATATAAAAAATAATACTGTACTGTAATAATAAGCTCATTGGTTTTCGTCATTTACATTGTGAATTACGTTGACAATTGCGAACTATTACGATTATGAATGAATATTCACCAAGCTTCAGTCACATGATACACAGCTTCAGTGATACTGTACGAGTGTACGTCATTTTAGTTGTTTAAGCTGTTTTTTTCGTAACTTGTTTGATCGTTTTTTTTTAAACTTTTTTCCCTTTCTTATGGACTCAAAAGCGTAAAAATGTTTCTGATACAGTACGATATGTATAGAGTAATTTATGTCCTGTACAGTATAATGTTCAGACTTGCACTGAAATTCGAGTTACACCGCTTCTCAAGAACGGAACGACGTCGTAAGTCGAGGACTTCTGGACTAGCTGTGGTGAATAGTTTTTCCATCATCATGTTGAGTTATTGTCTGTAACTGGCCACTCAGAAAAGTAATTGCCCAATCCTGTTCTAAATGGTAGCTCTATTCCACTGAGCTTCCCAATATATATTTTTATGAATTTCGGGTAAAGTAATAAACTCAAAATATTGGTGTCTGGAAGCTTTCTAATACTGATATGTCCCCACAACACCCAAAACAACCGGTATTTGATTTGAATTCGTTGCCATTTTCAATATATATGATCTCCAAGTAGGGTAATAAATGAAAAAAAATATGGATAACTATGAAGTTCCGCAAAAATGCAAAAAAAAAGTAAATTCACTAGACTTTTAGAATATCCCCAGACCCCAATACTATTATGATTTCATAACCTCTGAAACACTACTCCTTCGTGCAATTTCCACTAAGCTTTTCCATGGCTTCGCTCAACATTTTGTTGCACAGTGCGGCATATGGATTCGCATTCACAACCTGGATTGGAGAAAATAAAGAATGAGTTTCTTTGACTGGTTGGATTGTTAAGATTCGAACAGAGAGAGAGGAATTTTGTCAAATATCTTGTAAACATAATAACTAACTAAAGCAGGGCAACCTGTGGCCCACAAGGAAAAATTGTGCGACCCGCAGTGAAGTGAAAATTTTGAATAGAGTGCGACCCACGAAATTTTTTAATTCCAAATTCTTTATGTTGCAAAGCCTATACCTGAAATTGATTCAATATTACGTTACAATGCCCTAACAGCTAGCTTCCGCAAAGCGAATGTTTTACTTAAGATCAACTACCAAACTTTTTTGCCTGCGAATTGTTAAATTACCAAATTGCGAATTACCAAACCAAATTGTTACGAATATACACGTGCTTAAACTGTGATAATGATGTAACAATTGGCAGTATCTAGAACGCAGAAAGAAAAAAACATGGAAGTGTTAAATTATTTCACTTGGCGGACCATATTAAACCGTTATGAAGGGTTGTAATTGACCGGCGGGCCGTGGTTTGGGAACCACAGCTCTTGACTAATGTGTCATCTCCTACTACAAAGGCTAGTTATGATCTCATCTCCAAACATATCAATCCTATATAATCACATACTTGCTGCTTTGCAAATTGGTTTCCAAGTTGGGCCGCGAGTTTGAAATCTTCCAATGATCCTTCTTCATTGCCATCTAGTTTACGAAGTAATGCTCGTTGTGTAAATGCAAGTGATGCAGTACGACCTTTGCCCTTTGATAGTGTGATCGCTTTTTCGAGATCATCGTATGCTTCTGCAAGGTCATTTGTTAAAGTTAGTTTTGGTATTGTTAATGGAGCTATTGAAACAAATAAACAGGGCCATGCTCTGGAGCATCTAACAAAGAATAGTTGGGATGAAATTTCCTGTTTTCTAATAGACTCTTACCTCACCATCATGTGGTGAAAGAATGAGATGCTCTTTGGTACATCACATTCAACCAATGCTAATAAGACTCCAAATAAATTTTTAGTTGACTTTTGATTCGAGTCTGTAGAATGGAGAAAAATTTAAAAATGAAGTTATTCATAGGTCCGCGCAACATTGTACTAAAAAAATGACAAGCCTATAACATACATGATACCAGACACAGACTGGTAAATGGACGAGAGGCCGTGGTTCCCATGTAATTAAACGGTTTCAAGGATTATCCTCTCTCCGGGAAAAATATGTAAATACTATATACGTCTTGGTTCAAAAGATGCACGGTTTTGGTTGGTGCAGACTGTATGCGGGGAATATTGACTTTGTGTGTTTCGTCTCAGATATTATTCCTGTTTATGGGATAATAATGTTGACACATGATTCTATAGTTTGCACACGATTAAGCCACCTTAGAGGCTTTCTTCTCCCCCAGGATAACTATGAAAATCCTATCCATACCAACCTTGATTCAATCCCTTAATTCGTCTAGCTTGAGCTCTGTTATTGTAAGAGGCTGGATAGTCTGGCAGAATTTCTATAGCTTGATTCATACATTCTAAAGCGTCTTCCAAACGATTCGCTTCTGCGTGTTTTATTCCCTTTAATTCTAAATTTTTCACTGTTGCCAGTTTTTCTGGGTCAAAACTGGATTCTGAAATGAAATAAAATATGTTCAGTATGTTTGATAATGAATGTTGAAGAACAAAAAATAGAGAATATACTGAAAAACACATTTAAAACTGCAAGACATCCCGACATTTCAATAAATTAAACAAACGCTTCTTTTTTTAAGCGAGGACGTCAGGCATGACAGCAGATGCATCTATGTCTCAGATCATGCCACACTAGTCTCGATAATAATTTGAATAGAATTATGAAGACCAAATTAGTGTTTTTTGTCATAAGGTCGTGAATGCCAAGTAAAATAGCTTTTTCAGCATTCTGTCAGTTGTTGTCTTAGGTTTATATTTTTTCGCCAGTTGTCAGGTTGTACATTTACCGGTACGGTACCGTACTATGTACGACCTTCGATAATCAGAATACCAAACAACAAAATAATTGATGAAAACAATCGAAATCAATGTTCATTTATGCATTTCGAACAGACGTTACCGGTACCAGTACTCACCGTCATCCACTGGTTCTTCAATGTCTTCTAAATTACCAACTGGTAAATTCGGATTGAACACGATCTGCAGAACTTTCTTATCGCTTGTAGAAATATCAGAATCCATCACCAAATATCGCGACTGAGCGGCATGAAAACGTAAACACTCTTTGTTTACAAGATCATAAGATCAAGAATTTCAACTCAGAGGTCAGTAATATTACCGAATGTCATATTTCTACCAGGTTTTCGAAAAATGGTCTCCGTCTCCGAAACAATCTGAAAATATTAATATTTTTTGCAAAATAGTTCAGTGGGAAGAAATTTTCTGGGATAAAGGATCAGGAAAACACCAATGGGTTAGCGAACACGTACTATTTCTTTTATCAATACCTCCCTACCTAAAATATGTACGCTTTAACCCTTGCTCGAGGTTTCGTTTGCTTTCCCGAACCTATAATCAGTTTTATTTATGTCTTTATCAACTGCTTCATCGTCTACTGCTGATTATGGAGTCGAAATAAACTTATACAGTACTTGTTATAATACCGATACCGCTAGGCGCATCGTGCTAAGCGTTAGGAATTAGCTTGCCACTGCACCTCTGAATACCCTGCGTGTACAACTTGTTATATAATCAGGAAAGAAAACAAAAACCTTAGTTAAGATCTAAAACTTAAAATAGACAAGAGACATGTATGTGGACACGAAAACGATGAAATACGTTCCGGTGTCTGCCATCTTGGTTCACATACTTCGGGAGTACCGAAATGTCAATTCCACACGTGCCGCACTCAGGAATTGTAATTAGCCATTTCATTAGTTTTACTCTTTCCCGGGAAAAATATGAATTTTTGTATCTTTGTATCAAAATGAATTCATTATCTTGTCTATTTAAATACATATGCTGACTTCTATGCCAACCAGTTAGTGTCGCTGGAGAGTTGCAATCACAGCAAGACACATGTTTGTTCATACGAGACTTGCGCACATCCGAATAAGGAACCGGTGTTGGTGTTTATCAATCCGCGGGTCTGGTATAGTTTAGTACCACATGCACTTCTAGTTGGCCTGGCTCTCATCTGACTACGTCACCGAAAATTACGTCATTTCTACGTCACAGTGCTGTAATAAGGCCCACCGAAGTATGCGGATGGTCGTCCAAAACGCGCAGACGATCACCCGAAATCGAGCAAGCTATTTCTCTCGTTTTCTCGCCACAACGATCACGATAGGAGAGAGATCGCCGGCGTTAGCGAGTTCGTTATCGGCGGCGCATATGCCATTTCGGGCGATCTTAATTTACTTTGGCAAGCCCTATGACGTGATGGTGACGTAATTTTTTCATGGCATAGTCAGGTAGGGGTAAGGAATAACATATGCAAAATTGGTTATGCTACGCCCACTGGAAGTACTTGTGGTACTAAACTATACTAGACCCAAAAGCCTGCTGTTGCCCCACTGCTAATTTTTGTTGTTGACTGCTCTACCGGTAATAGTATTGCCCTTTCATCTGTTAACTGACTAAGACCAACTTGAATCTAATAACAACGGCCAAATTGTTCTCACAGCTACTATTTTATCAATCAATCATCATTTATTCGTCAATATGCTGGATTTATTCGTCATAATTTTAGGTACCGGTATAATAGAACTTAGCTTAACATAATGAAAAGGACTGCCTCAAAATAAATTCAGTTATGTCATAAAGAATTCTGGATGGTTCGACAAAATCCAACTTCAATGAAAATACAATCTATTGCTCAAATTTGGGTACTCCCGAAGTATGTGAACCAAGATGGCGGACACCGTAACGTAGTATGTGTACCAGGTTAGGCCATAATTTCAGGTACAAATACTATGGGAGTCACTTGGCTCGTCCCCGAACTTGTAATAGAACTAAAAATTGGAATAAAATTATGGCCCAACCCTAATCTGGTACACGTACTACGTTCCGGTGTCTGCCATCTTGGTTCACATACTTCGGGAGTACCCAAATTTCTTTGTTGAACATGATCCAAATTCATTTGCTCTTGGGTATATTTTTTCCGTTCATTTTTAACAAATACATATCACAGAATACTTATCACAGTGGTTCTCAACCTTTTTTGACACCCATATCTTGGCCTATTTTGGGACCCCAATTCCTCCCCGACTACTCATAAAAACTTTTATTTACATTTGATATTCAATATCAAGTAAATTGTTCGAGTGCGAATTATACTTTTGGAATATTTTATATTGTATATATGCTTTACATTACAAATTTGTAATAACACAAAATAAGTACGAAATATTAGTAATACTTCACACAAACTTCCAAGTGCAGTTTTAAGTATTCCATGGCGTCTGCAGCTGCCACAAAACCATGGCGGTATTTCCATACCATGGCCGCTACGGCCAAACCTATGGCGACTGACTTTTTAGCTGCCACAAACCAATGTCGAGCTGCCGTTACCGCGGCAGCAAATTGAAAACCAATGGCAGGTAAAATTTTGCTGCCGTAACCGCGGCAGGTGGGCCGTAAGGACAGGGCTGTCCCTTATGGTGACAAATATTGGGTAAGTTGGAACGTTTTTCTTATGGATACAGTCTTGATGGATTTAGGGTTAGGGTTTAAGTAGATATAATTCCGCATGATCAATTAGAATTTGGTACATTAGTTTGTGAATATACCGTTAATACTGATTACTGATTACTGAATAGCGCTATAAAACCATGGCAAGAGCTGCCGCGGTTCGTTCGTGGCGGGAGCTGCCATGAAGTGGTAAGAACTGCGCCTCCAAACTTCTTCCCCTCTTCGGCTGGGAAAAGCTGGCCTATCATAACAAATATGGCCCAATTTAGAGGTTTGCTTTTGGACATTATTGCTACTGCTATACATTTAATTAACAGCTATTATTTTTTAATGAATGTCCATCACAGATCCTACTGAGTAACCAACTAGAATTGAAATGGCTGCCAGATTTTTTCGTTGTTTCTCATCGAAAACGTCATCTGCTAACCCTAAAGTATTTTTCGATATAAACATATCAGGAGAAAAAGCTGGACGTGTAACCTTTGAACTCCGTAAAGACATTGTTCCAAAAACTGCTGAAAATTTTCGATGTCTTTGCACCGGAGAAAAGGGTTTTGGATTTAAAGGAAGCCATTTTCACAGGATTATACCAGGATTTATGTGCCAGGGAGGGGACTTTACCAGCGGAAACGGGACTGGTGGAAAGAGCATATATGGAGAAAAATTTAAGGATGAAAATTTTCAATTAAAACACACAGGTCCTGGTATTTTATCAATGGCCAATGCTGGCCCGAACACCAATGGTTCACAGTTTTTTATTTGTACTGAAAAGACTGAATGGCTTGATGGGAAGCATGTGGTATTCGGCAATGTCACAGACGGTATGGATGTTGTCCGTAATATGGAAAGTAAGGGTACGCGAGGTGGACAGGTTTTAAAAAAGGTGACCATTGAGGATTGTGGTGAATTATCTTCTGAAGAATAAAATCATGCTTTTTAAATTTTTATTAAAAACTTGCAGTCAATCAAATTCTACATTTGTGTGGTTTGAATTTTTTCACTCGGAGTTATACTAGTGGTTCTCAACTGTTTCTCTTTCGTGGCCCTTAACTTGTTTATGCAAGTGAAAAACTATGTTCAATCAATTGCCACTACAATCGAAATTTAACTATAGTGATACAGATGAAACTAGCAATGGGCCATATTCCACTGATTAACACCGCATGGCCCCCAGAGAAGTACCAATTTTGAATCGTGAATTGAGTTTTCAATTTAAGTTTAAAATTCTTCAGCCCATTAAATCTTTTTATGCAAGTGTGAAGTACGAAAAAAGTACAAAACTAGTCCAGAAAAATTATTATTGCAGTAATATCTCCAGCAATTTTTATTAGGTTTGAAGCCCACCTGAAAATGTTGTTATGGCCAACTGATTAAAAACCGATGTGTTAGACGAAACATATCAGGCTATCAAGGCTGTGAAGTTCGGGAAAAATTTATAACCCACTCATCAGATTCTCAGGCTCTTCGAGATAACGTCTCCCAAATTTTTACTCAAGATTCTGGCCAGTTTCGAACTCTGAGAAACTTTCAGACAGCTTGAAATATACAAACCACTCATCAGATTCTCAGGCTCTTCGAGATAACGACTCCCAAATTTTTACTCAAGATTCTGGCCAGTTTCAGACAGTTTGAAATATACAAGCCTCCCCCAAATGATTTAGGTTTAGAGAATGATTTATTGTAATACGCCTATTCATCATGCCTTTCACTCCGAACGAGGTCTTGTACAATTATGTTTGACACGGTTCCATTACATTTGAACCCATGACAATTGCACCTGTATGAAGTTGCACCTATGGAATTTTTTTTGTTTTTCGGATAGTTGAACCCATACTAACCCTAACCCATGGGTTTTAGCACTCGCATATAGATTGAACCCGTGGATATACACATGGGTTCAAATGTACGGTCACCGTTTGACACTACTATAATTTTGAAGAATGTGAAACAAAGTCTATCAGGTTCAATATGTCGTGCCTTGGGTGAGGTAGGTGGGACAGCCGATTTGAATTCGTGATCGTAGTCTGTGATTCTCATGCTTTGAACCTGTGGGGCAATCAATCTCCTTACCACAATGGCCGTTGCGGATTGGCTGGGCATGTGTTAGTTGGTAAAAATATCTTGGAGCATGGTTTGAATTTGTTACTTGGGTGTAGGTCAGTGGTTCTCAACCTTTTTTCTTTCGTGGCCCATTTTCTTTGCATTAAAATTCTGTGGCACATCAACTTTTCTATGTAAGTGACAAACTAAAAGAAAATCAAGAAACTATGTCCACAAAAATAGACACTTTTGCTTTAATAATGGGAATGAAGGATAGGATAGGATTTACATATTTCTCCCGGGGGAGAGGAAAGCCGATAAGACGGCTTATCCATATGGCGAACCACGGCCTCTCGTCCGGTTACCATTCCAAGTCAGGTATGGGATTAGTTTTACTGTATTGTTTGTTTTCGGAAGCATGAACTTGGTGGTGGAGGAAGCCGTAACCGACCAGCGGTTACGTGAACCACCCAACGACGGCGAGGAGTCCAGCAATTCTCTCGCACATAACCATCCCTGCATGGGATTCGAACCTGCGAACCCACGCAGAGTAGTTAGAGGTGCGGTGGCGAGCGTATTCCTAACGCTTAGCCCGTTGAGCCACACCGCCGCGCGCGGCCTGTTGCTTTTTAATAGTGTTAGTTTACTTACTTACAGTCATTTTATTCTTTGCGTTATCACTTTCGCGCAGCGTCCGACTTTATTAATCATGTTTACGATTCGTTATCGCTGTTACGCGGCAGTGGAGCCAGCGGGGGGTCACGGAAGTCACAATCTTCACTAAACATTTTTAAATACAATTGTACTACCTTTCACTTGACACAAAAAGCAACGGACGTATCACACTATTGCCGTCAAAACTATTCGACAAGCGCGCTCTCGCCTCGCAACATTCAACGCATCCATACTTTTAATCACATACGTTATCGCTAATTACGAATTTTAGTTATGTAGTGCATCTTTAACAAGCGATGGCACCAGGTTCATAAGCAAATAACAGACAAAATGAATTATTGGAAATGTATGGTTCATTAACAACGGATTGCCAAATGTGGCAGCATCGAAAAAAAAAGTGTCATGAAATAATATTCAATCTTCGAAAACAAAGCATTGCAAAATAATGTTCAATCTTCGAGTAAAAAGTATCGCAAAATAATGTTCGTTCAATCTTCGGGAAAAAAATATTACAGAATAATGTTCAATCTTCGAGATTTTTGGGTAGCAAACTCGTCCAGGACTGGTTTGGAATCGTCTGTCTGCGAAAATCAGTTACATGCGTTGTCTTTCAGTTCTTTTTAATAAACTGGTAACAATATGTTAATTAATAAATTATCGCTGAAAGTGAAGAAGCGCTATGCGCAGAATGCAGCTATCACGGGCGCGGGATTTCAAATTCGCGACGATTTCACTTTCAGTAATATAGGTCTAGACTCGACGCATTGCAATAAAAATTAGAATTTATTAACAGTTAATTGCAACAAGCAAGAGTTTTACATTGAAAGACGTTCTCAACCAGTACGATACATGAGCTTGTTCCTAAATGATTGTAATCGTTTTTTGAAGTTATAAATACGGGAACATCAAATATATTTATTTTGGAAATGGATTGATATTTCGTGACGCACTCAAAAATAGTTTATGAACCATTGGCATTTGGCAAATATGGTGACCGTACATTTGAACCCATGTACATTTGAACCCATGCGTATATCCACGGGTTCAATCTATATGCGGGTGCTAAAACCCATGGGTTAGGGTTAGTATGGGTTTAACTATCCGTGAAACAAAAAAAAATTCATAGGTGCAATAGCATACAGGTGCAATTGTCATGGGTTCAAATGTAATGGAACCGGCAAATATCATTAATTTATGCTATTTCTTAATGTTTCACGATTGCTAATATTTCATTCTATTCTTATTTTACAATTACGTTATTTCAATTAAAATCATGTGTGGCATTTTATTTAACTGTTGACAATGGGGTAATAATCGGCGATTACTAAAAGGTTGAAATGGGACATGCCGAAACAAAATAAACGAATTGACGCCTGTCAAAGGGGCAGGGTCTGGCGACAAAGAGCCACAAGTGTTGGCGTTTCTCTCATTTTCGGCATCACTTTGAAACTCTAAAACGCGAGGACACCCCGCGGAGTGAAGACTTTCGCATAGGGAAATATTTGAATTACGATTGCTGAATTAGCGAAAAAACAAATGCTTATTTTCTTGCTTGAAACAACGATAAACCAATTTAACCCTGTTGCCAAAAATAATAGCATGCATTATTAACAAACTGGTGATGATATGTTGATAAAACGCCGCTAAAAGTAGAGAAGCGTTATGTGCAAATATTACAGGAATTTGAATTCGCGACGAATTCACTTTCAGTAATATAGTTAACGGGCGCATTGAAATGAAAAGTTGATTATTCTTGACCAAAGAGAATGGTCGGCGATTGCTGAAAGTAGGACATGCAAAGAAAGGCTAATGAGACACAGCGCCGCACATGTTGTTTTGCCATCATCGGAACATCTTTTTAAAGGCCTATGAACGCGTTTTTATTTCACTGTACCCCCCCGCAGTACAATCAAAATTTAACTATAGCGACACGAATGAAACTGACATTATTAATATCCCTTGCAGATTTTATTAGGTTTGTGGCTCGCCTGGAAGTGTTGTGGCAGTGGGCTAGACAACATATCAGGCAATGGAGCATATAAGCTGTGAAGTTGAGGACAATTTATACCAAACTCTTAAGCTATTCTAGATATCGACTCAAGAGTCACAAATTTTTACTTAAGACTCTGACCAGTCAAGTTTATTTTTTCCAGATAGTAAATAAAAACAATTGAACACAGAAAATACGAGAAAAAAAAATGATAATTACAGTTTTACTGGGGAAGGGAAGTCGCGAGGAACCAAAGCTGGTTATCGAGCAGCGACACCCAAGGTTCTAATTTGAATAAGTGATATTTCAGTTACGAGACTACTGTTTTAATCTAACATCCTGAGAGAAATAAGGACGGTTTAGTATGGGCAAGCCTTTTTTTAATTGTTCCCTCACCCATACGATGCTTTCCACGTCTTCCACTCCGTTTATAAGCAGCCAAAGATATTTGACAATATATGTATGGAGCCGCTATTATTTAAAAAACTGGAATCTTTCCACTTCGGCATTGTCTATCCCTTTTTATTACAACCTGGGTGAGATGGGCAGGAGACTTGAACCAAAGATGCCAAGATAAGTCAAACACCACCGCACCTGTATCTACAGGATCAGTGGTTCTCAACCTTTTTTCTTCGTGGCCCATTTTTGATGCACATAAATTCTTGTGGCCCATTAACTTTTTATTGCAAGAGGAAAACTACAAGGTAAAGCATGATGTTTCTGCGAAAATGAACACTTTATTAATGTTTATGGTTCTCAAACTTTTTTCTTCGTGGATCATTTTTGTTGCATTGTTCGTAACAACGATGTGAAACGAAACGAGGGAAACTATTATACATTATTAGAATAATCAATTTATACTGGCGATGCTGCACTCCAATTTCACCCTTGAACCCTGCCCACATATCTTTACAGCGTATATAATAAACTTGCCAAAGACACCGGCAGCCCACACATTAGTATTGGCGAATACTTCGAAATTTATGATTTTATTCATATTTCGTCTCGGGTAAGGCTTGTAAATAATTCTGGAATAGCCTTCAGTTGACTCCAGCTACCAAAAGTTATCACAGCGACATTGGAGAAAATACAATTATATTGAACACTTATTACAATTATTATTACAATACAACAATTATATTGCCATCACTCAAATAACAGTGAAACCAAAGGCAAAAATATATCTTTTGCTTCTTATCAATTGTGCATATGCCAACTAAAAATATGTCTGACAAATTTCTAGCTGTTAGTTTGCATATGTAACGTACCGGAAGTCTACGAATGAATTATCCAAGTTCAGAATATCTTCCAGTATGGTCTGACGCCAAGTTTCCTCTCAATATTCACTTCAATTTTAGCTATTTTGTTTATTAACAACCTCAACACAACTCCAAACAAACGACAGGCAAACAATAAAGCGACAAGTACCAGGCAACACAATGCAAGAAAACAGAATATACACAATAAAAACACTTTGAACAGTACAGATGATAGCTAATTTCTTGACAACAACCAAAAACACAACGCAAAAATAACTGCAATGCTGCAATGGCACTGCACTGAAACAATA